GCTCGCAAATATCAACGCAATCCTTCTTTCAACAACGCCGTTCTTTTTATTCTGTGTGCGTTTGTTTGTGTGCACATGCATGAAAAACCCCAACCAGTACAAAGAAAAACTGCTTTTATTTTCAATTCAAAGACAGGATAAAGACATATGTAATGTACACAAATGTGTGTGCCGTTCAACACAAGATGCTCATTTGAAATACATCAAATGGAAAAAAAAACAACTTAGATATTTTACATGAGTTAATCAGAGTGAGTTAGAAATGAGACGAGGCAACATTAGAAAAGACAGTAAATATTGATCTTTGTTCATTTATTTTTTAAACTTACACAATTAATAGTTACATATGTTTAAAAGCACAACAAAAATCACCGCTTATCAGATGGATGGTGTTCTTATACTTTTGTTTTTATTATACTTATGTTGTGCTTTCAGTATTGGCCTCTTTGTGGCTCTGCCCTGACTTTAAAATGTAGAGATTTAAAAGTTTCAACTGAATTAATCACCATTAATGACAATAATGATGAATTGAATGTAACACCCAGCTTTCAGTGGAAGGAACGCCCTCAATAAAAAACCTAATCACATGTGACTCGACAAGAAAAAGCTCGCATTTACAACCATGGAATTGGATGATAGAGTCCTCTTATGAATGAATAAATACAATCCTATTTCAGGAGCTTCTAATCAACAATATTTTAATCCAGTATTTACCAGGGCAACCAATTACATAGTGGAAAATTAATCAGAGAAACAAGTAGAAATGTATGGTTTTTAATTAGAAAAGAAAAAACAGCCCCTTTTTGCAAATAGCCCTCTTTAGTTTAGACTTGATTAATCATGAAGAGGAACAACCTGTGCTTCAGAATTTTCCAGTTTTACTAAAATAAGTTAAATATAAAAGGTCTAGTCCCAAAGAACTGCAGAATGTGCAACATTTGCTAAGCTGTAATGACCAGCCTTATTGGCTTTTTGCTGATATGCTTAAATGTGACAAATGGGGACGCCCTCGCCCATCATAGTGGAGCTGCATGTCTCAGGGACAAGAAGAAAAGGCCAAATTGTAAATTTGCTCAGAGCCAAATGCCTAATGTGAGGCTTTGTTAAGTGTTTACTCTCACTAAACTCTTAACATTTCCTTGTGATGCTTATATTGTATATTATATGTTCTTTCTTGTGTATTTGCCTGCCTAGGGACTACGGATTAAAAAAAACTAGCTTTGTAGCTATAATCCAGCATATTTACATTTGTTTTTATACTGATGTTCATTAATGTGCTTTGTCCCTATTCAAATAAATAAATAAATAAATAAATAGATAAATTAATTAATTAATAAATGAATAAATAAATAAAATTTAAAAAAATTTTGGTTTAGCCAACTGTCCAGGTCCAGATCAGAAGAATTCATTTGGGGCTACATTACTTTTCAAAGGGAATTCCCAACATGAACAAAGGTCCCAGTCCTTCTAAAGGAGGAGTTCAAGTCCTATAAAGGCTGAATATTTATCAGATTTTTCTTTCTATCATATCTTTCTCCAACTTACATTTCAATTCAACTTCAGGAGGAGGGCAACACCCCGATTATAAAGGTAGCGTGTAGAATTCTGCAAACTAAAATGCCTCTTTAGATAGAAACTTTATTACTATCCGATTCAAACTTGACACCCGGCAGAGCTTTAGGACTCGGATCTCTATCTTCTGAAATTAACAGTCATCTCAGGGTTGGCGGTTAGGAGACGAAGCCGAAGAGAGGCTGTAGGAACAGGCCCACCGTTCCCAGGACGCACACGGTCACAAACACCCAGAGGAAGATCCTGTCGATCACCATGGCAACGTACTTCCAGTCGTCTTCCACCTGTGAGCAAGGAAAAAAGGAAAAAATCGTGATGGATTTAAAGGAGATATGTTATACTCTATTTCAACAAGTTAAACTAGTTCCCTGGTGTCCTAATGTAATGTCTGTGACAAGCTTTGGTCAAAATCCCATAAGGATGAAGCCCAATAGCAGTTCAGTCCCCCTGCCTAACCCTAACCCTAACCCTAACCCTAACCCTAACCCTAACCCTAACCCAAAACAGCCCCGTTCAGAGCGCTCGCTTTGGAGTGCCTGTCTCTTTAAATGCAAATGAGACACAGGCAATCCACCCACTTCTTCAGGGAGGTGTGCCCACGTCGGCACGCTAACGCTACCATGCTAACGCTACCATGCTAACGCTCACGCTAACGCCACCATGCTAACGCTACCATGCTAACGCTCACGCTACCAGGACGTCTCCACAGATAGGGGAGTAAGCTGAGGGGGGGGGCAACATGCAGGTGAAAGGCTGGAATATTATAATGAGCTAGAGCTAATGACAAGAAAAATATTTTTGATGAATACAAAAAAGAATAATTCATTAAAAAAAAGAATAATACATAAAATGTTATACTGTTTGTATTTCTGTAATCGTCCTTTACCACCACGACTCAT